ACACACACACAGACAGACAGACAGACAGACAGACAGACAGACAGACAGACACACACAGACAGACAGACAGACAGACACACACACACACACACACACACACACACACAGACAGACACAGACACACAGCATTCAGAGAGCATATACCACAGCATGTCCTTTTTCGCTTGCTGCAGGTACAAGCCTCACCATATTTCTATGCACATTATACATTTTTGTTTATCTGTTCATATTGATTAAAGTGCTGCACAACCAACAGTACTATAGAAGACAGCTTAAGAAGCTGTCTTTGTGTATGTGTGTACATATGCACCTCCTTCTTGAGCATGTGGGGACATCTTCCGCCCAAAGAAACACACTGCACAGGGATACCGGCACAAAGTCCCCAGAGGACAGGCAAACCAGCAGCAGCAGTCTGCCCGTCTGCATCTGCCTGTGCCCATACCCCTCTGGCTATCTCACGCTGCCTGTGCCCGTGCCCATCTGCCTGTCTCAGTCTGCCTGTGCCCATCTGCGTCTGTCTGTGCTGTACCCATCTCAGTCTGCCTGTGCCCGACTGTGCTGTACCCATCTGCCTGTCTCAGTCTGTCTGTGCTCATCTGCCAGTCTCAGTCTGCATCTGATCCTATCAAGGATCGAAAAATAAATTTTCTTTTGGTGTCAAATTCCGAACAGTAAATCTCAGTGTGTGTGAGCTAATAAGCATGCAGCATACTTGTATGAAGATCTAAAGTCACTAGTGATTGGGTGTCTAAAGTAATGTTAAATACACGCATAGTGTGAAAAAATTCTAAGAAATCAAAAGTCGCATTTTGCAAGCATTTTTGGAGACAGTGTGACTTGCAAATACGCCCCCCATTTATGGCTAAATATGCCCCCCATACAGTGGCTGACCACATTTATCATGTGAAACACCCGGAGGGAGCAAGTGTGTATGCGTATGCATGTGTGTGTGTGCGAGACCATCAGAACTCGGCCCGATTCAGTTCTTCAGAGGTATCATGACAGAGCCACTACTGAGGAGGTGCTTACTGTGAGAAACTTGCCGATTGCTTGACCACAAGCACCGGCACCAAGTTACAGTACACGGAAGTGCAGAAAAAAAGGTGGTATTGGTAGGTGGTATTATTTCTGTACCTCAATAAGACCGAATACCTTTTGCCTGCGTCTCTAGCCGGAGCCGACAGGAAACGTGGCAGCGGTTATTAGCGGGATAACGTTACATTGCTTTTTTTATTTTGTGGAAAATTAAAGATCAATCTGCTGGCCAGATTTATTTATGAATTATAAACATGTCGCAGGACATATAAGTAAAAGTTTCACGTATCGATTGTGAGACGCGCATTTCAACCAGTTCACACGCTCACACGCCACACCTTGTGTTTCTCACGCTGAGGTATAAAGGATAACCCCCCCACCAAGGTGTCTCGTTATATAGAATTAATGGACGAGGCACCGACCAGCCAAGTAATAGCATTAGAAAATACTGTTTGTTGCATGTGATGCTGCTGCAAGCACATTATTACATGGATGTGCGTCATACGGAGTGCAGACAAGGTGGGAGTGGCAGAGCAAGAACCAATGAATGTAGTGAGCAGGGCTGTAAAGCGTCACGCAGTGACCGTGAGACACACGCTGCGCCCCTGACATGTAATCTCACTGCAAACTTTAATGAAGCTTGAGAGCCCTGGTAAAATATAAATAAAAGCCTGTGTCCCATTATGATCTCTATTGATCCCCCCTGTAACTAACAAATAATTACTTGTTCAAATAAAAGATTAGTGCTGTAATGTTTAATGTACTTTTGTTGTTGTTGAAATTGTTTTAAAAACGTGTTGGTATCAAAAGAATTATTGTTCAGGAACCGGTATCAAAATCAAGGTATAGTTCTGGTACTGGTATCAAAAATTTTGAACGATGCCCAGGCTTACCCATCTGCCCGTCTCAGCCTGCCTAGGCCTGTGCCCTTTTGCGTCTCCTTGTGCCTGTGTGAGCCTGCCTTGGCCTGTGCCCTTCTGCACATCTCAGTCTGCCTGTGCCCATCTAGCCATCTCAGCCTGCCAGGACCTGTGCCAGTCTGTGTCTGTCTGCCTGTCTCAGCCTGCCTGTGCCCATCTCTGTTTGTCTGGGCCCATGCCCACCTGCCCATGTCCACCTGCCCATGTCCATCTACTCATCTCAGTCTGCCTGTGCCCATCTACACGTCTCAGTCTGCCAGTGCCTGTCTACCGTCTCAGTCTGTCCATGTACGTTTGCCTGTCTCAGTCTGCCTGGATCCATGCCAGTCTCAGTCTGCCTGGATCCATGCCAGTCTCAGTCTGCCTGGATCCATGCCAGTCTCAGTCTGCCTATGCCTGTCTGCTCATCTCATTCTGTCTGTTCCCGTCTCTGTTTGCCTGGGCCCATGCCCGCATGCCGGTGTCTATCTCCCCGTCTCAGTCTGACTGCGCCCATCTACCCATCTCAGCCTGCCTGGGCCTGTCTACCATCTCAGTCTGTACCTGTCTCAGTCTGTCCATACCTATGCCCATCTACCAACCTCAGTCTGCCTGTACCCCTCTGCCCGTCTCAGTCTGTTTGCGCTCCACTGCCTGTGCCCATCTGCCGAAGCCCATCTGTCTGTGTGTGCAATGCTCACCAACGGTCACAGGCCCGTACCTTCTTACCTTCTCAGCATTCCTGTCAGGATCCTGGAACTCTTTCCAAGGTTGGCATCCGTCTCTCTCAACTTGGGGACAAAAAAAGAGACAGTTGTTGAGACAAAAGAAGGAACAAAGACAGCTCTCTGGGGCTGATGGGACAAAGGGTTGCAGGCTCCCTTCCCCCACAGGTATGCTTTGGGTGCAAATGGCACCCCCCCGTTATCTTGGCATGGAAACCATGGAGAGAAGTGTCTGACATGTGGCTCTACAGGGGGTGTCCAGGCTGCTCCTAAAATATACTTTCCAGCCAGAAGAAAAAGATCTGGAGAGCACAGGAGGCAGGGGAGGCGCAGGGACACGGCAGGAGGTCCACAGCACAGCCACTGTGGCAGCTGGGGATTATTAAGGCTGCTCACTGCAAACGGAGGTGCTGACAGGAGCAGAAAGGCATGCAGGACACAGAGCAGCCATGGAAAGACCAGCAGCCAATGCCAGCCCATAAGCACATTCTTACTACTGCAATTATTTTTTGGCAGGTGTGAGAGCGTGGGCATGTGTGTGCACAACATGGAGGGAACATGCCGACTCCACACAGGAAGAAGAGGCCCTCTTCAGAGCAGCCTGTGTGAATCGTTCCAGAGAATGTGAGCAACCGTGCATGGCTTTATGCCAGAGATGCTGGCACAGTGGCCTTCTGACAGCACAAAACAGGCATGGCTTGATGCTGGAGGTGCCTGTGCAGTGACCTTCTGGCAGCACAAGACATGTATGGCTTGATGCTGGAGGTGCCTGTGCAGTGACCTTCTGGCAGCACAGGACATGCATGGCTTGAT